GGGCCCTAAGAGGCATTTGCTTTAATCCCCTTCATTCCACAGATGATAAAGCCAAACAGTTGATGTTGATATGACTCTCCAAAGGCCTCACAACTTCACGGTGCAGAACAATTATAGGAAAACACCAGGTTTGGTGTATCTGCTTGGAAAACTCCCCCCAAAGCCGTGAGTTCAAAACTAACCAAAAGGTAGCCTTTAAACATCTAACTTTCCGGAGCAGATCACAGATGGTAAATAAAACAGCATTGGATTTAGCCCTCATGGGATGGCGAGGAGAAGGGACAACGCTTTACTCGTACACACAATCTCAACTTTGTATGACATACCTAACTGGTCAAAACAACACACCCTCAACTGCAAAGCCCTCTGCCAGCAAGAGAATCTTAGAACAAACACCTGTGTATATACTGAGTTTAATTTTTTTTCAGATATTCTTAAAGGAAGTGGAACACAAGTGGTGGAAAGTGAACAGTTCACATGATTGTCAATCATGAAAACATTCACCTGTCTTTCCCCTATTTTGTACATTCCTCGGAGAGGTAGCTTATCTCATGCATTTCTCAAGGGTCTGGCCAATTTGGACTCCAGAGAACAGAGTACCTGTGTGCCCATGCTTCGGGCGCTGGGCTGGAGTAGAGGCTTGAGAATGCAGGCTCAAGGTGGTGCCCCATTCCTCATCCAGCATGTTGTTCGTGCTGTAGTATTTGGCCTGCATCAGGATTCCTGCAAGGTTGAGGGTGAGCTGTGGCTGGATTTCCCCGAGCTGCCAGGCTTCTAAGGGACAGGTCAGGAACGCAGGCACTGAAAGGCATTCCTAATGTTCTTCTCTCCCAGCAAGTAGCAGGGAAGCGTCTGACTCCAGTTCCTGCCTGGAGAGGCCCAACCCCTCGCCTGTAATCTTGTACTCTAAACGCCAAATTGGTCAGGCGAAGGGGAAATAGCATGTGTTTTCTGTTTGGGCGGTCTCTGTCTGAACAATTACCGAAGCGGTGGTGCTTCTCAGATCTCTTCTGTTCATCTGTTTGTACTTCCTGTTTAACTGTGTAAAGAAGGCAAGACCTTAAAATTGCAGAGAGCCAATTCCAATTTTCAGACTCTGCAAAACAATCATCAGTCAGAGGGATATATTATCTACTTTCTTGCCCATCATACACTCGCTGAGGCACTTATGTCAAATTTCACCTCTCGGTGCCTTTGAGAAAACAGAAGAGACTACAGTTCCAGCCTCTTCCTTTCTCTGGGGCTATAGTATAAAGCATCATATACAAGGAATGTGAGCACAAAAGAGTCCTTTTGAGAATATCTAATTGATCCTATTCTTTTATTTTATAAAAGGGAGATTGAAGCCTAGCTAGGTGAGAAATTGCTCTAAAGTCACATAGCTTCTTAGTGACAGAACTAAACTTAAAAGCACTTTCTGGTCCTGGCTGGGTGACACAGTTAGTTGGAGTGTTGTCCCATACACTAAAAGGTTGTGGGTTCAATCCCCAGTCAGGGCACATAAGACAAGCAACAGATTAAGGTTTCATTCTCTCTCTCTCTCTCTCTCTCTCTCTTTCTCTTTCTATCTCTATCTCTATCTCTATCTCTATCTCTCTTTCTAAACATATCCTTAGGTGAGGATTAATAAATTTAAAAAAAGGATAGAAAGAAAGGAAGAAAGAAAGAAAGAAAGAAAGAAAGAAAGAAAGAGAGAAAGGAAGGAAGAAAGAAAGGAAGAAAGAGAGAAAGGAAGGAAGAAAGAAAGGAAGAAAGAAAGAGAGAAAGAATAATCTTTCTTCTTACAGTATGAAGACTCAATTTAACATTTTATATCACACTAGAGGCCTGGTGCACGAAATTCGTGCAAAAGGGGGTGGTCCCTCACCCCGACCTGCACCCTCTCCAATCCGGGAGCCCTCAGGGGATGTCCTACTGATGGCTTGGGCCTGCTCCCTGTGGTTCTCTGCTCTCTGCAGGGCCTGCCTGCTCCACACCACGGCCACAGGCAAGCAGGCCCTGCGGGGTGCTGCCTGTGGGCCACGCTTGCCTGCTCAATGGGTTGCTGTGGCAATGCCTGCTGGGCTCACATTGCTGTGGTGACGCCACCAGCATCCTGCCCCAGCTGCTGTGGGCACTGCCATCTTTGTCGCAGAGTGATGGTTAATTTGCATATTACTCTTTTATTAGATAGGATGGTACATCATGATCATGGACACAATTTCCTGGAAGTAAAGACTTTTAGAATTATTACTAACTACATGTGACTTTAGGAAGCTAGTAACAATTTGTGTCTACATTTCCTAAGCTGAGAAAAAAATGAGAAGTTTGTTTTAGATAATGTCCAAAAATTCTTTCCAAATCAGTATAATAGAATTATATTATTCTACTAATATATTTCTATATTTGGGGATGACAGCTTGGCTAAATCAAGCACACTAAATATAGAGTGTGGAAGATGCTTGGATTAGGGCCACCAACCCCTATGAGGGATTGGTCAGAAATTATATATTGTGGATTCATCATGCATCTCAACCTATGTATTGTTTACTGGGTTATTCTAAATAAAGCAAATGGAAAGAGACCTTTCTTCTTGCATAATGCCTTGTAAAAAGTAGGAAATAAAAAATCATTTGGTAATTTTCATTGGGTTGATGTATTAGAAAAGGTTATAGAAGAGGAGGCAGTAAAAAAAATGGAAGGAAACAGTAAGTGAAGCACATATGAGAATGAAGCAGAAAGATGGAATATTAGAAATCAAAACAGGGGCCTAAAAATATATACATAAAGGAGATACTGATAATTATGATTCTAATGAAATGGCAATGAAAACTATTTTCCAAACTTCAGTTATTCACATAGATCTTTGACAATTTTTGCCAAACTATTTGCATTAGAATTTTACTACTTGTCTTTAAATAATTTTTTTCAACAATGACAAAAATATTCTTTGAATGCAGGTACTATTATCTGAGACATATCAGTATAAAATAAAACTCTCTTTCCTTTTAGAGCCTACATTCTATGGAGGAAAGCAGATGACATACAAGAAAATAATAAGTAAGTTGTAGAGTTTACTAGATTCTGATAAGAGTTATGAAAAATATATGGAAGATAAGAGAGATCAGGGATATATAGGAAGGAGGGTTGCTAATTTTAAATGAAGAAGAGTCAGCCACATTAAGAAAGTGATATTTTTGCAGACTTAAAAGAGATGTAAGGCTAAGCCTGGAAATTTCTAGGGTAAGAATCAGTCAGATAAAGAGAACAGGGAGCTGAAAAGGTATGAGGGGGAAGCATGCCAGCTCTAGTTGAGAAACAATAGAAAAATCAGTGTCCTAAATGGAATGAGTTTAGAGAAGAATAGATTGACTCAAAAGAATAAAGTATGCCACAGTAATTGTCTCAATTTAAAGATTTTTTGCTTTTTATTTTGATTTTTTTTTACTCTGAGATATATGGGAAATCACAGAGTTTTCACAGAAGGCTGACATGATTTGGTTTAAATTTAATGGAATCACTCTGCTATGTTTGAAAATAAACAGAAAACAAGGCAGATGCTGGGAGACTACTTTTAAAATTACTGCAATTGCCCGGCCAACATGGCTCAGTGGTTGAGTGTTGACCTATGAACCAGGAGGTCATGGTTCGATTCCAGATCAGAGCACATGCCCAGGTTGTGTTCGATTCCCAGTGTGGAGTGTGCAGGAGGTAGCCAATCAATGATTCTCTCTCATCACTGATGTTTCTTCTCTCTCCCTCTCCCTTCCTCTCTGAAATCAATAAAAATATTTTTTTAAAAATACACACACACACAAAACTCTCCAGGAGTTCCAGCCAAGCTCAGAGGGTACCAGAGACATACAGGGAGAAAACTGAGCTGTTGTGGCTTTAGAGTGAAAGTCACCATTGTCCTTGTGTTGAGCCCTCTCCCCACATGAATCTGAATCTGGTGAACTCCACTTTCTCCAACCTGAGGACTCCCTGGGACTCCAACCCACCACAAAGGTCTGTAGGCTCCAGGCAATGAGTGACTGGCCTCAGTGTACCCTGTGACATTTGATGAGTGGCCTCAGGCTCAGCACTAGCACCATATCTGAATCTAGATGAACCTGGTAAACATGATTCATCCTACCCTCATGACTCCGAGAGCCCCTCCTTACCACTCCAGGCCTTTTCAAAGGCTGAGCCTTACAGGCAACAGGCAGGCAGCAACAGATCTCAAGGTGCCTTGTGACCTGTGCTGACCTGCCCTAGGCCCAGTACTGGTGGAAGCTGGCCTCACAGTGTGCATTTTCCCATGCACATCCAGGTCCAGCAGAGGCAGCTCCCAAGACATATCACTTAGTGCAGTGGTTCTCAACCTTCCTAATGCCACGACCCTTTAATACAGTTCCTCATGCTGTGGTGACCTCCAACCATAAAATTATTTTCGTTGCTACTTCATAACTGTAATTTTGCTACTGTTATGAATCGTAATGAAAATATCTGATATGCAGGATGTATTTGCATTGTTACAAATTGAACATAATTAAAGCATAGTGATTAATCACAAAAACAATATGCAATTATATATTCAATATGTGTTTTCCGATGGTCTTAGGCGACCCCTGCGAAAGGGTCATTCGACCCCCAAAGGGGTCGCGACCCACAGGTTGAGAACCGCTGACTTAGTGGCTCCTAGAAAGAATACCAAGGCCAGTTATAGGCAGTATTTGGCATTGGCCTGCACTGGAGACTCTCCCAAGAGGCCTCAGAACCAACACTCCCAATGGCCAACTTCAGACCACAACAGAGCACTACTTGATTAGCACCACAAATGGCACATCCAAAGGGTGGTCTAAGCAAGTAACAGACCCTAAAGGGGCAAATCCTGCTCTGTGGGTAAACACTACATAACAGCTCGTATGCTGTGGTAATGACCAACATTCACAGTGAGTCAGCCTGAAGATCAATCCCACCCACTGACGTGCCAACAGCAATCAAGGCTTAACTACAACAGAAGGGCACACACAACCCACATAAGGGACTTTCCTGAAACACCCAGCTCACTGAGCAGGGAGTCTGCACCACTGTGCAAAACAGGACACCTACTACATAAAACCACCCTGCCAAGGTGGGAAGACTTAGCAGATCTAAATAATATAGAAAAAGTAAATACGGAGAGGAAGCCAAAATGAGGAGACAATGAATCAACAAAAGAAATATACAGGAAAATAACAAAATAATATGGAGGGAAGCAATCTATCAGATACAGAATTCAAAACAATGGTTATAAGAATGCTCAACGAACTTAGTGAGAACTTCAACAAATAAATAGTAAGCATAAAAAAAGGACATGAAAACCATCAAAAGAACCAGTCAGAAATGAATACTACAGTAACTGAAATAAAAATACATTGAAGTGCCCACCTGGCATGGCTCAGTGGTTGAGGGTCAACCTATGAACCAGGAGGTCATGGTTCATTCCCCAGTCAAGGCATGCCCAGATTGTGGGCTCATTCCCCAGTGTGGGGCATGCAGGAAGCAGCTGATCAATGATTCTCTCTCATAACTGATGTTTGTATCTTTCTCTCTCTCTCTCCTTTCCTCTCTGACATTAATAAAAAAAATTTTTAAAAATACACTGGAAAGCCTTAGCCGGCTTGGCTCAGTGGATAGAGCATCGGCCTACAGACTGAGGGGTCCAAGTTTCGATTCCGGCCAAGGGCACATGCCTGGGTTGCGGGCTCCATCCCCAGTGTGGGGTGTTCAGGAGGCAGCCAATCAATGATTCTCTCTCATCATTGATATTTCTATCTCTCTCCTTCTCCCTTCCTCTCTGAAATCAATAAAGAAATATATTTTAAAAAAATACACTGGAAAAAATCAATTCAGTGATTTGGAAGACAAGTTATCAGAAAATATTCTATCAGAGC